GCTGGAATCTTGAGGATAGACGCATAGCAACACGGAAGGCCCTTCGTGTTCAAGCAGCTTACGCAGAGGACTGACTTTAACTTCTGCGGCATTCATGGTAGAGCCACCACAACAACGACAGGGCACACCGGTTGAAAACAAAAAACACAGGCACTACAAGGGAGAGGATAAGACCACGGACCTTACATTTGGGGCCCCGAAATTGTTCAGGTTGACCAAAACCCCAAACCCTAAACCCGAAACCCTGAGACACTAAAACCCGCACCCCTCAACTTCAAACGCTCTTGAGCCCCCCAAATCCTTAAAACCTACCTTAACCCGGAATAAGCTACCTTTTTAAGGACTTATATAAGGAAATCATAAGACGCCTTGTTGAAGCCTTGTAAAACCCTGAAAGAATCGCCCTGGGGTCCGTACAGCCGGGAGCGCCCCGGCCTGGCTAAGACAGGGGCCTCTTATCCGGTTGATGATATAAATTTGTGTAGTATCCTTAAGGGAGGGGGGTCCACGGGGGGTATGTAGCCTAGTGATCCCAAATTCTCCCTCGTACCCCCTAAGGTTCCCTTACAGTCCCCTAAGGATTCCTTATACCCTCCCCCCTTGAACCACCCTCCCTTAAGGATCCTATAATAAATCCTGCATTACCTTAAGGACCCTAAACTATGGGGATTATGGTATATTCCTTATTATGGGTCATGCAGGATTTATATCATCAGCCGTATGTTCAATAGGGCTTTGGGATTTAAGGTTTTGGGGTTCAGGGTTTAGGGTTTTGGGGTTTAGGATTTTGGAGTTAAGGGGTTAAGGTGGTGTCTGATAGCGAAAGTGTGAGACGTAACCTTAACGAACAATGCTGGTAATTACTCAAACACCTACATCAGCGAAAGGTTTGGGGAATGGATGCCCTGTGGGTCCCTGTGCAACGCTGTACGCTCTAAGACCCCGCAAAACTCAAAATTCGCTGACCCCCCCCACGCCCCACCCCGCCCGAAGAACATTCTACCGGAGAAACAAAAACAAAACAAAACCCAGAAAGACCGTACTAGGGTCCCCAACCCCGCCATATTCAACCCTTCGCCACCATCTTGGGGGGGCCTCATGAAGATGCCGCAGCCATCTCAGGCACCCGCCGCGTTCTTAAACTTCTGAGGGGGTTGGCTTTAGGGTTCAAGGTTTCTGTAAATATGTATTTACAGCTCGTTCAATGGTTCTAGAGGGCTGTAATACAGGTTGCATCGGGAGTTCAGTTGTTGCTAGCTTGTGGGCTTGGTGGTTTTGAAGCTCAAGTTTCGGGGTCATCCGGGCTTAGTGCCTCCGGTCTATTGAAATGTGAGCTCCTTGGATTGAACAGTACCACTATCAAGTCGCTTCGTCGGACATGAAGGCATCTACTACAGGGGCCTTAAAAATTAGAATAGGGTTGTGGGGCCCATTATACTATAACTATCAAAAGGAACCCCCAAAATAGTCTTGGTTATTTAGAATTTAGGCCCTATAATCTTGTCCAAACGCGAAGCCCGGTGGATTCTCGTTCTGCTGTTCAGAGATCTGGGATGTGCTGCGTGGTTTGGGCTAGAAGGTCTGCACGGGCTGACGCTTCCGCGTGCCTGGCTTCGGGTTCTGTGGGCTTTTAGGTTCGGGTGGATGGAGCTTTTGCATATCCTGCTGAGTCTGAAGCCTCCAACGGCTTCGGATTCCGTGCTCGATCTTTCGGCGTTCAGAAGTCTTGGGTTTGGGTTGCTTACAGAAGTCTGAACACTTGGCAAAACTCTCCCATTATGGTTCCTACTTATCACTATACCTGTCTATACACATGTACTAGAAAAAAGCATGGCTCAGATGTCCTAAACCCTAAAGGCCCTAAACCCTGAACGAAGATTGAACCGGGTTGTAGCGTTCAATCATGGTTGCAGGCTTATGACTGAAGGTTGGTTTAGGGTTTAGGTTAGAAGCTGCCCCCACCCTGAAAGAGTGACTATAAGGATTAGATTATATTAGGGCCCTATATTATATTCCTATTATACCACTATTACACGGTGGGGGCAGCTTCTAAGGTTTAGGGTTGCTTGTGGCACACAGTGCAGAACCGCAGCTCTTAACATCGAAGTCTGAACCATTGCTATGGCAGTGGCGCTGACTTTAGGGTTCCTCACACGATTTTAAAGTATAGAACCAACCCTCCAGAAAGCTATGCCCTCAAATTATTCAAGCTTCTATATCATACCCAAAGCCCTAAACCCCAAACTATAAACCCTAAGCCCTAAACCTTGTGCAGTTGCGCAAGCCCTAAACCACGTAATCTCCTGGCTACAGACTGCACGGAAGAGCCCTCTGCTTGGGTTCAGGGCTTGGGGGCTTGGTTTATGGAGTCCAGATGCACAGGAATTTAGGATTCAGGAAATTGTTGACTGAATTCTGTTTCTATACCATTGAAGCAAATCTTCCCGTGCTCTGAGCTTGTGTACACGAAGGGATCACATCGCAAAGCCTTCAAGCTCTTGGCTTAAGATGCTGGCACCATGAACTAAAAGGTTGAACCCTGAACCTCAAAACTAAAAAAATTAAGCTCTCCCAGAGACTCCAATATCCCTTCACTAAGGAACATACCCTAAATTATAGTAGCATCCCGAAGAAGATTAAGGATATATTCCTGAATTAAGGGATATTGGAGTTTCTGGGATGCGCGCCCTCCACAGTCGCCTGCTTTCTTTCAAAGCGAACTCATGTATCCGCCCTCGCTGTCCGAATCCATCACGAACCGGAACGTGTCCAGCCTGAAGGGCTGTGGCAAGGTCCCTTCTGTGGTGTGGGTTGAGGGTTTGCGGCTTCGGGTTTAGGGTTGGGCTTTGGGGTTTAGTGTCAAGACGAAGGAGAGGAGCTGGGAAGCAGAGAATATAGTGGCCTTCATAAATCGAATAGGGTTTTGGGGCCCGCTATACTATAACTATAATAAAAAGGAACCCCACAATGGTATTGGTAATTAATTAAGCTTCTATATTAAAAGCAGCAAGGCTCCATTGCCAAGAAACTCTAAACCCTCAACCACCCTAAATCCTAAACCTAGACCGGAAACTAAACCCTAAACTAAACCCCTAAACCCTAAACTAAACCCTAAACTCTAAACCCTAAGCGAAAGGCTTTGTGGAGCCCCTTCCAGGCTCCACGAAGCGCAGCAACCAAGCGATGACTTGGCCCCTCTCAAGAAACTGCCTCTGCTGGGATCCAATCCAAATTTTAGGGTTTACGGTTCAGGGCTCAGGTTTAAGGTTCAGGGCCTAGGGTATAATTCCCAGGCATCTTTGCAATGGCGGACAAAAGTAATAACAGTTGTCGCAATAGCATTGTGGTATATTCTCTTGATTTATCTGATAGCACCTTATGTCATAGTATCTTGTATTATACTGTCAGGTTTTGACTAATTTTTGATGTTTTTTTACGTAAGGCTATTTTGTCTTATGCATTAGTGTATTCGATTATAATGATGAATATAGGGATCTCAATAACAACAATAGGGTTTTGAGGCCCATTATACTCTCATATAATCAGTCAGGAATCCCAGAATGGTCTAGGCAATCATCAAGGCCCCTATACATCCAGTCAGCCGCAACGGTGGCGCTGGTCTGGCCTCAGGCTTTGTTGCGGTTGCCCCCGGCCTGCCGGGGAGCGCAAAAGCCCATGGCGAAGTGAAATGTCCCAGGGTTTAGGGTTTAAGGTTCAGGGTTTGGGGTCAGGGTTTGGGGTTTAGGGGTTTAGGGTTTAATAAAAATTTGTGTTGCAATTTTCCCTTCCTCACCTCGAGGACCAGCTTCAGAGCCTCTTGATGGTGCATTTCGGCAGCCTTGTCGGCCGCTGTATTTCCGTATTTGTCTGTGCCATTGAGGTTGACACCAGCCTGAACAGGGGCCCCACATGAGCTCCGGCAGCATGTGGGACATTCCTCCCTTGGACAGATCCTGCCTGCGCGAACGAAGACTTGCACGAAATACCGAGCCGGACAAGGCCCTAGCACCGTAACCTCCACGACCGAGGCCCAGTATTCCATCTGCCTGCAAAGGAAAGAAAGTTACTGAATGCAAACGTTTACCGACTTGCTGGCCTTAGCCGGAGCTCTATGACGAGTTCCATGCCATGGATGAATGGGTCCCCGGAGGTGGTAGGATAGTTGTTCAGGACCTCAGGTCAGAAACATAAAAATCCATGATTGAGAACTGCACTTGTTCCGGCCGTCTCGTAGACTTGGTAGATCTTGTCTCCTGGCAATGTGGTGGATGACGTATAAAATTCATTACCGAACTGGCCTTCTCCCACATGCTGTAACAGGGCCAGCTCGCGACGATGAACCTGCTCGCACAAGCTTATTCCGTCGTCGGCTTGTGTCGTTCCCTAGCCTCCTCCGCGCAATCCCTGGACCACCACGCCGGGCACCTGAGTAGCAGTTGAGGGAGGCGAGCACCGCAGCCGTCAAGGAACGCGCACGAGCCTTGATCAGGATGCGCAGCACGTCCACCTTGCCCTGGAAAGCAGCCATGTAGGCCGGAGCGTGTCCGTGGCTGTCCGCCGTATTGAGGTCGGCCCCAGCTTAGCTCACTCAGCGCGCGAAATCGGGAAACCCCCTGCTTTGAACTTCACCCATCTCCCACGCAGGAGCCCGAAAAGACAACCAAGTACAGGACGACTCTACGAAGCAGCCCTGCATGGCCTTGGCCAAGAACTCCAGCGCTTCGTTGTTCCCCACCTGGGCTGCCAGCAAGGCCGGCGTCTGGCCATCGTTGTTTGTCGTCGCACTCAAGTTGGCGCCCGCCTCACAGGGGGCCTACATAATCTAATATATATGTATAATATATATGTATAGATATATATATATATATATATATACGTATAAAAAATACGAATAATATACGGAGGCGGAAGCTTCGGAAGCTCCAAGGCACGCCTCGTGCAGGAACTTCAGCGCCGCCACGTCGCCGAGCCGCGCGGCCCAGTGCGCCGCAGTCCATCCGTCAGGGGTCCGGCGCATTCAAATCGGACCCAGCCTCGGCGCGGAGCAGGAGCTCTCAAGCTTCGCGCGCTGCTCTTTGTGAAGTTTATCCAGGGCTTCAAAACACAGCACCTGCACACAGCCCTCCCGAAAGAATCGCCACTTGCCTACTGCGAGAGCAACCTCAAACCCAAGCTGGGCCTTCAGGTGCTGCACGAGGGCCTCCACGTCGCCTCGCTTGGCAGCCGTTTTCAAAGAAATGGCTGGAGGTTGCGCCCTCGTCGTGGTGATGCTGGTGGTGGTCGTGGTCACCATGTCGAAGGGGTTGTAATCCTGGACACTCGCATTCGGAGGCCCCGGAAAGCTTGGGAAAGTGCTGGCTGATGCTCATAAGGTCGCCGGTTTTTCGGGCCTGAGCGAGGACAGCCTCCCAGACCCTAATGTGGGAACCTGATTAAGAAGCCACAGGCCTTTATGAAGATTCCTTATATGAATCCTACTACTTTGGGGTTATAGGCCCAGGGTTTCTTAATGCTACCTACACTACAGAGCCTAAAGCAATGAGAACGAGCTGATGGCAGTGCCATGCGCTGCGCACGAGATGGGCCCTGCTTAAACCACACCGGTGCCTGCTCCTCAGCTGCCAGCGTGGCCAAGCTCCCCTCGGTGTACACCTGGATGGAGGGAATAGGGGCTTTGGAGGAACTACCTCCAAATGTCATGATACTTGTAGTAACTAGTATTATAACAGAAAGGACTGTTGTGGCGTGTATACATAAGCAGTTTTTACAGGTTCAAGAGTTTTTACAGGTTCAAGAGTAGCAGTACCAGCCACAACAGTCCCGTTGGAAGTAAGCGACTTACTTTACTAGCTACACCAGACCGGTTCTAAAACAAAGCCCGTGCTCTAAAACTAGGTCTGTCTATTGTTCTGCACGATCAACAACAAAGTAAGAAGTTACAAGCCTTGCTGTTTTATGGAGTAATTTCAGAAACCAAAAAAACCAAAAAAAACAAAAAAAACCAAAAAAACAAAAAAAAACAAAAACCCAAAAAAAACAAAATAATCAACCCCATACCTCCGGAGCCACCCGGTGATATGGGGTCGGTTCTTTTGGTTTTTTTGGTTTTTGTCTTTTTTGGTTTTTTTGTTTTTTTTGGTTTTTTTCGTTTCTGCACAGGTACGCGCCTCAGCCGAGCGCACTTGCCTCCTTGGCATCTGGTGTTCTAGAAGGGTTCGCAGTTCGTGGTTCTTGTCACGACGGCGACGCCACTGATTCCCGCCACGCGTCCTAGATGTATCACCCAGCAGAAGTTCGTCAATGTATGCACGCCGCGACACCAGCAAAACGTCTCTTGCACTTGCTCATGATGCTCATGTTGCTGCGTTGCTCCAAGTTTGTATTGTGAGATCTGTCATTGATGTCTTGTCCTAGCAGCAACCTTTCTTCATCAAGCGTATCATTCCCGCACTTTCCTGTCCTGCTTTCTGCATCATGGCACGTGCGGCAGAGGACTTGTCTTATGAGGACCTGCAGAAGACGGTAGACCCTATGGTCTGCAGGCCGGTGACGTCTCCAGCAATCCTGCACTTGCCTGCAGGCATCTTCACACCAATGACTCTTCCGCTTCAGGAGATGGGTCCTTCGGATAACCCCTCCACCCATGTGTTCGATGTGATCCCTAGCCACGCAGAAACCATCGACTTCCGTGACCTGGAAGCGAAGTACAAGTTAGCCGCACTCAACCTCGACCTGAGTCTTCTTCCCGCACCGTTTTGTCCACGACAGTCTGTCCCAAAGGATACCAAATTGCAGATCTTCATCGTTCCCACTTCGGATGAGAAACACTACATCATCAAGCATTTCGTCTTCGCCAGCAAGTGCAAAGCCTGCTTCTTCTTGGCCTCCGTATACGGCAAGGCTCACATCTACAGATGGCGGGCGGCTAATCCCAAGGTAGGCAAAAAGATCCTCCAATACACCCTTGAGAACTTGGGGTGCTATCAATTCAAAGTCTTTGACCTCCAAACCTTCTCTGCCGCGAAGAATACCAATACCCGCTTTGAGGACAAGACGGACGAGGAGGTGGATGCGGGGTTTGACTACATTGCCACGGAAGGCCCTCGTTCCTCTAGCGAAATGCAACAGTTGAGGTGGATGACGAAAGCAATCAAGAATACAAGCTCTCCAATCTTCAACTGGCCGAACAGTCTCGTTGAGAAAGCCCTTCGCAATCTCGCTACTGACGGAGCCTTGGCTAAAAAGATTGAGGAGTGGCCTATTCCATTCACGAGCACCTTCTACCATACTTGGGTTCTGGACATCTTCGAAAAGGTGTGGGATTTCGATACCTCTGCCCGGGTACTTCTCGGTGAAGCTGGAGCTGGGAAGTCGCCTTTGGGGCGCAGTGTCTTGATGGCTCAGGTGCGACACAATCAGATCCGCTTCAGCAGTCGCCAAAAACCTTGCATCAGATGTACCCCTGAAATCGATTTCCTTCGTGGTGAGCAGGGACATGTCGCCATGGGGGATTTCTTGGACGACACGACCATCAAGTGGCTCTCAAACAAGATGTTGAAGTCCTTGCTGGACGTGGGTCTATATGAGGCCATGTCATGGGCACGCTGGGGTGCTGTGAAATGGGTACAGAATCAGCCTCGAGCCGTCGCTGACAATACTTTCGATGAGGACTACAAGGTCAAAACAGAGAGCTTCTTGCCCAGTGTCCCCCACGAGGAGTTCTCCAATATCATCAAGCCTGCATTCGGTCCTGACATCACCAAAGCCCACATGAATGCAATCTTCAAGCGAAGCGTCTTCGTGGTAAACACAGACACGCACATCTACTACAGAAAGGCTGGCATCAATCAAGATCGCATTCCTCGTATCGAAATTCCAAATGCGGACTATATGACGGATGCGGGCAAAGCCTTGTACGGTGTCTTCAAGGATGGTGGTCGTCTTCTACCTCCCGACTTCAACGCCCAGGTGCGTCGGGAGCAGGAATGGGTGTCGAAACTTGTTGAGAAACGCCAACAGGAGCGCCGTCCAGACCATCAGAAACGCTTGCAAGTTCGTGAGGCTCTGTTCGGCCGCGAACCTACCTCATCGGAGCCTCTCCACCGGCGCATCAAGAGGGAACAAGCGGGGGCTCACGCAGAAGCGGTGAGCAAGAAGGCTAGGACATGGGCCACGGAGCTGAAAGCTTCCAAGTCCGTCATCGACCTGGACACGCCGCCACGCCGTTCTTCTGAGCCGGCAAGGCTTGTGCATGTTCCCAACCCAGATTTCGCAAACGACTCCGAGGAGATGGACGTGGTGTCGGAGGAAGAGAATGATCCGCTGGGTTTGGGCATGCACATGGACTGAAGCGCACTTGCTAGGGCTAGATGCTCAGTTTTGCAACCCGCGTAGCTTTCCGATGTTCTTGGTGCTCCCTGCAGTTGCTCGTGGTGATCACCGTAACTATCCATGCTGTTACCATCCTCCGTAATGGTTTCGCATGCTACTTATCTGTCTTCGCAGAACTGCTTTGGAGCACGCACGCAGACCCCATCATGACTTCGCCGCACAAGAAAAAGGTCATGCATTGCACTGCTATATCTCTTGCTGTTGTTGAGATCTTTCGGTGCTGCGCAATGGACTCTTTGCTCATGATGCATGCTTTCGTCGAGTACACTCAGCACGTGCCTCATATCTGTGCTGTAGCGAGCTTCTCAAGTATACAGGTTTGCAGCTTTCGTCAACGACCTCGCTTCCCATGCCGCTCCTCCCAAGCAAACTACGAACGTACAAATACCCGGGTCGGAAATGTCCCGTCTGCTCTGGTAATCTGTACTTCTCCAAGGCAACGAACAGCTTCGCATCGGCGACTTGCCTTGACAGTGAAACGCTTACACTGGTGCGGTCGCAGGCCTCACGATGCAATAGCTGTGGTAGTGCACTTCGTCACAACTTCGTCTGGTTGGGTGGCCAGAAGATCAACTGTATGACCTTTCACCAGATGCAGAGAGCAGGTGTCTACTTCGTGACCCAGAAGACGTGCTTCACCATGAAGTACCTGCATCTGTGCTACCTCCGCCTACTCCGTGCCAAGACCTCCCCTGGACAAGAAGCCGCTGTTCGTCTCCTGGCAGATTCGCACCACCCGCTACAGTTTTGGCAAGAACATTCCTTGCGCGATAATCTCCTGCACGCCCTCGAGGGCTTCGCCGTGGCCAAGAATGAGCCGGATAAGGTCATAGAGTTTAACCTTGAGTACCCCGCGAAGTCCATCGTGAACATGTCCGGTGCGTCGTCCCACGTCCATGTCTTCGAGCCGCCCACGTCCGTTACCGCGGTCTGCTGCGACGGCAACTTCGGAGTTCATCGTGCTCTGCTTTCAGGAGTGGACCCTCCCAGGTCTGTGAGACTGAAAGGCAAGCCACGCAAGCTCATTGGTGATTTCACACGCACATGCTCCTGCAAACAGAAGGACGCTGTACGTCAGGTGCTACCCGATCGGACTGCTGGATGGCAATTTGTCTTGGACCCTTCCTCTCAACGTCTTCTTGGGGCTTGCGAACATCTCGTAAATGAACGGTCGTCCGACAAAGTTCGACTCCTGCAAGCCGTCCTCGATATGCCAAACATGAAGGTTGACCTCATTATCCATGATGATGCCTGCCACTTGGAGGAGTCCGTTTCCTGCTTTCGTTGCTTTACATTGCTTTTGCTTTGCTGGTTCTGCTAGTTGTTGTGTCTACTACAACTTCATGCGCAGGAGTTTATCAAGAAGCACAAGGCATCTGGCTTCCAGGATGTCAAATACTACATCATCGACAAGTTTCACCGGCCGAATCATACCTGCAGTACAAGAAAACTCACTAGGGCCGAAGACCGCCGTGCCCGCGACACGCGTACCAACACCGCGGAAATCTTTAATGCGTGGATTCGCCCCCTGAACTTTTTTCTGAACAGCCTGCGACCCCACAGTCACAAATTTTGGGTACTGGAGGCATGCAAGTTCTTTAACCTCCATGGTCGGGCGCAGCACGGAGTGCTGACTCGACGAACGACTGCCAAATCACGCAGCGTTCACAAGAGGCCCAGCGCGAAGCGCCTGAAGCGATGACGACAATAGGCCGCGACCTTATTGCTCAGGGACAGCAAAAGAAACACTGTTGCTGCATGCCGTGCTTCTGATGAGCAGCGTGACTACATGCACAGTCTTACCTATGCTCGCTTCAGCCGCCTCTCAGACACACGTAGCCTTTCTGTAGGTTGTAGCTTTCTTCGTACTCGCGATGCCGTACTCGGTGGTGTCCGTTTCAGGCCACATGTCCCGCAAGGGCGGTGGCAAGTTCACCCTGGACTTGGGTGTGAGCGCTGCGGACTCAACCCCGGACCGCGAACCTCCGGCAGCTAAGACGTTGCACCAGCAGCTGCAGGATGGAAGCCTCCCGGCACATCCGTCCAAAGCGGCTATGACTGTTCGTAATCTACAGACCCAGATCGCTAACATCAAGCGCAGCGTGGGTTTGGGGTCGAATAGCTGGTCCGATGAAGCTGAGGAGGCCCTTAAGACTTGGCTACGTCGCCCTAAACTGTCTTCGGCTTCTTCCTCCATTTCCGGGGACCGCGACAGTGGGTCAAGTCTCAAACGTAAGATGCTCGTGATGGCCCAGACGATCGACGACCTCGAAGGCGTAGTGGCTCGCGCCCAGTGGGAGGCAGAAAAGCACGAAGAGACCGTGACTGAGCTCAAGAAGCTCAAGGCTATTCTCAAAGAGAACGGCCTTCAGCATCTGTATGAGGAAGCCTCATGAGCATCTGCCGCGTTGTTTTTTCATGTTATATGTACACATGCATCCGCATAGTTTTCCATGTCGCGTGTGGTGGCACAGAGATCCGCTGCATCAGAGGTAGCAAAGAAGAAGGAACCCATGCTTATCTTCTGCTTATCTTCCCACGCCACAACAGTCCCCTCTCTATTATAATTGTCAGTTGTCAGTACCATTTTTGTTATCATGACAATAGAACGCTCATCAGACACCCTATCCTGCCAAGCCAAACCCCCCTGAGTTTCAAGCTGCATAATGCCGTCGAAACGGCCTTTCACAGCCCCATCAGCCCGAATCTCTCCCTTGGTCCTAAGAACCCAGCTCGTGTAGCGTCAGCACTCCCAGCACGATCAGCTGAATCGTCACCTGATGCCAGATTTTGATAGTACAGCTGACCTACTCGCGGGAGGCTTCTGCGAATGACGGCTCTGCAGGGAACAAGGCTGTTACTTCCACCTCGCGCTTCCCAACAGCAACCAAGCCCATCGATGCTTGAACCGAGGGGACAATCCACAGCCCACATGCAAACTCGCCGGATTGTCATGAAAGCAGGTCCAAAAGACGGCGGCAGAAACTCAAGACAACCTACTGTCAACCCTATACCATATAGACGTACTTCAATTGAACCCTTTTGCGAGCTTTTCCGTCCGCCAAGGGTTCCAGAAGGTGACCCGAATCTCAGGCCGCGGCACGCATCCTGAAGATAAAGCTTGGAGTTGACAACCAAAGTTGCAATAAGAGACTTGGAGCCCAAAGCTGCGGGGAAGCAACGAATACGCAGAGCTACACTTCAGGGCCGCTCCCGATGGGCCGTTCGTGGCGACCGCTCCACGCTTGAATCCGAGAGAAGCGAACATAAGATCGTCTTGCTTTTGGCTCCATTCTTTGCTTTCCGATCTCTTGCCCCAGTCGGAGAAAGGACCGATGATGACACGCAAAAAACGCCACAATCGTTTTGGGCACCTTGAAGTTGAGGATTCAGGGCTCATTTCCTGGATCCATGAACATAAACCAAGTACTAAGTTGTGCCATTAGCGCAAACCTGAGCCGGGTTGGACTCCAGATTAGGCCTTCCGTGCACAGAGGCGAAATCACCACAAACCAAAACAGGACTGCCACCCGCACTCCTGAGCCTTAAAACCTTAAACCAACACAACCCCAACACCCGGCAGGATTCCGGTTTTTGGCCTGAGGCTTTCAAGTCGAGCAAATCCCGGCTTCTCGAGCCTCCTACGACGCCAGCAGCAGCCTGGTCGGAGGGGGCCTAAACCCTCCAAGACTCAAGCCCACAAACATCGATTCGGGACTCCACAAGCCACTTCAATCAATAGGACATCATCGGAAGCCTGCGTAATTTCGGTGCGCATCGGAATCTCTAAAGAACATCGAACCGCGCGATCGCACAGCGGAAGGCCTCCACGCGAGGACAGTCGCTGTGCCTGATGGGCTTGCGGTGGTGAGGAGGGTTGAGGATTTAGGGCTGATGGGTCTATGTAGGGTTGCGGGTTTGAAGAGCTGTCGGCGTTATTGGAGCCAGGACGGGCTCGCGAGACAGTTGAGACTTCCCCAGACGGGCCCTACTTCGTGTGCCCGGACGCGTAGTAAAACTCATCGCTCAACTGTTTAAGGTTCGAGTTGAGTGTTCTCAGGTTGAGTTTTGGGTGCAGTTCTTTTAACACAGGTCTCCCACAGGGCTACACAGGAAGCTTCCAAAAAAACTTGGCCAATGCTGGCAACGCTATACAACTAAAAACCAGAAGCAAAGCCACAACCCGAAGGAAAGAGGGGAGAACCCCTACAAGGCCCTACCTTAAACTACCAAACCCTACTTTTTTGTAGGTTCTTATTATGAAACCCAAGTATGGAATTTATAGGGACCCTACAAAAAAGTAGGTTTTGGTAGGTTAAGGTACACCACATGACCCACCCGAACTCTCCTGAAGGAGCGGATTCGAGCCGATCTGAATCATACCTTAAGCTACCACAACCTACCTGAAAACCATATATTGGGATGTACAAAAAGAACCCATAAGACAGTAGGGTGGTAGTTCTTAATGTGCTGGTTTGAAGGTTTTGGGCTTGGGCTTTAGGGTCTGGTTCAAGGTCTCGGGTTGAGGGTTTGGTACGTTTCGGGTTGAGGGCTTCGGCTTCTGGGTTTAGGTTTGGGGCTGTAGCATTCAAGCGCCTAGAAGACCAAGGCCTGACGAGCTTCTTAACCTGCGAAAAAAGCGGAACGCCAACAAATAGCCGGCAACACCAACCCGAAGCTATTCATAGCCCCTCCGGGAACCTCTACACCCAAACCCCTACAGCCTAAACCCCTAACCTTGAAGCCCAAAACCCTCTGCCCAGCAACCTCCTCCTATATTTCCCTGATGCAAGTCTCTCGAGGACTCAACCTCCGATAACACAACAACCCTTAAGGATTGTCTATTTCTACTACTATTGTTGTGATTTTTACTATTCATACTATTCTTCTTGTTCTCATTATTCTTCGTGTTCTTCTTACTGCTGTCTGTTGGCACTGTGATTCGCTATTGCTAATTAGTTCTTAAAAACTCTTTGTTGATAACTAATTGGCAATCATAATGTATTCATTTTAGAAAAAATCAGTATCACTATCAGTCGTTGACTATTGAATAATCGTTGTGATTTACAAACTATGAATTCTTAACCATTAACCATTAGTTACAACTGCCAACCTTGTTCTGAGTCCTCTTTATTGATGTTGTTCATATTCGTCGTATTCTATTCTTATTATTAGTTTCAAGGTCTTATTCTTACTCTTCTCCTTATCGTTGTTGCTATTACTATTATTGCTGTTATTATTCTTGACCTCACGGGGAGCATATTGCGAAGCATTCCAACCGTAATATACAATATAACATAATACAATATAACACGACATGATATGGTATGATATGATAGAATGTGAGATATAATATGCGATATAGCATACTATAGCATAATATAGTATAAAATACAACACAACATAAGACATACCTTTATGGTATAATATAAAGGAACATAATAAAACATAACATAACATACTATATCATTATATAACAAAAATATGTATTATATTTTAATATGACATAGCATAACAGGATAAACAAATTATATAGACGAGCTTAGAACTGAACAGAATAATTAGAATAGAATAAAACATAATGTAACATAAGCGAATAAACATCATGTAATAAAACATCAGTGTAATATAAGCATGCATTTTAGCAATGATAATACATTATAAATACATCCATTGAGCGTGTCTCCGACCTCAGAGTTTGCTGCGTTTGCCACCCGCCTTGCAGGGGGTCAGTTGAAATGAAAGGTCCTCGCCAAACCCACCCCTCCCCCACAAGGCTTCCCTTCAGGGTTTACTGCAGGGCCGGGTTCTCTCCCTGACCTCGAGCCTCGAGGATCAGCTTCAGAGCCTGAAGGTTTCCTCGCTCGGCAGCTTCGTCGGCCGGTGTGTTTCCCTGCTTGTCCTTGATGTTGAGGTCGACACCGGCCTCAGCAGGAGTGGCGCCGTGGAGGCACAGCAGCCCCCAAAATTCAAGTGTCGTGCGAGGGGGCGACGAAAAACGTCAAGGGGCTCTATACTATACTCTACTCTACTATGCTACTCTATACTCTACTATACTCGATTGTACTATGCTCTACTATGCTATATTATAATATACCCCCCGGCCTTGATCAGGACGCGGAGCGCGTCGTCGTGGCTGTGGCGAGTGGTGCCGTAGTCGCCGAAGTGTTCTCTTTCGGTGACGCGGTGGGCCGGGGTTCGTCCCTGCTGGCCCGCCGCATTGAGGTCGACCCCGGCCTGAAACTCAGCGCGGAAATCGGGAAGAACCCTGGTTGCAGTATTACAGTACATTATGGCCACATTGGGAAAAACCCTTCCCGAAGCAGCAGCCCTGGCCTTGGCCAGCACCTCCAGGGCCTCCGCACGCCCGCCGAGTGCTGCACTTGAGGCCGGCGTGTAACCATACTTGTCTGGTGAAGCGAGGTCGGCGTGTGCCTATTTGTGACCACAGCGGGAAACGTCGCCTCCCACCCATGAGACCCACCTCCAACACACAAGAGCCACCCTAAACCCGAAACCCTAAACCCTAACCGAGTCCCGGAAGACTCCAAAGCCGAGCCCTGGCCTCGGCCAAAAACTCCAGCGCCTCCGTGTGCCCCTCCATGGCTGCCAAGTAGGCCGGCGTCTGGCCCTTGTTGTTTGTCGCGTTGAGGTTGGCACCTGCCTCCCGGGGTTTAGGGTTTAAAGCGTATAGGGATTTGGGAGTTTCCGAAAATTAGGGGGACATTATTTGGGGATCCTAATAATAAGGATGCTACTATTTGGGGTAGTATATCAGGGTCCCCTATTTTCGGAAACTCCCATTTAGTAAATTGCGGGGGGCTGAGGCGAAGCAGCTCAGAGAGGCGCCTCGCCTCGTGGAGAAACTTCAGCACATCCGCCTTGCCGAAGAGTGCTGCATAGTGCGCCGCTGTGTCTCCTTCATCATGGTTGGGATACAGTAAACATGTACATCTTAATTCCTAACTATTGGGTTCAAGTACCCACCAAACATGTAAAATCATACAAAACTATGACAAAATATCCGTCAGAGCCCACTTTCGCATCCAAATCGGACCCAGCCTCGGCCACAGCTCGAGTTCCCACATGCTCTCGCCTACTGCATTAGCTGAAATTGATCCAGGACTTCTAAGCCTGGTATGGGGGCCTTAACCCACAAAGCCAATACTCCAAAAGGAGGCTGATATTATGACTTAAGGTATATTCCTTAATTAAGTGGTATTGGGCTCTCTGGGAATAATTATCCATATTATGTTCGGGGACCCTATTCTAATTATTACGGCCTCTATATTCGCACAAAAGCGCCCAGATGGGCCTGACGCTCCCGCGCGAGGGCCGCCACGCCGCCAAACAGGGCAGCCTTTCTCAAGGAGCTCAGGGCGTCGGTCGTTGCGGTGGTCGTCGTGGTGGTGGTCGTAGTGAAATGTGCAAGCCTTCCTCCCGCCTGTTTAGGGTTTAGGGGTTTAGGGTTTCGGGGTATAGGGTTTGGGGGTTTAGGTTTCAGGGCTTTAGGGTTCAGGGGTTTAGGGGGAAATGGGTGAGAGCTTCCAGCAAAAGACGCCGCGTACCGTAGAGCAGAGCAAAGGGCGGCTTGGGCCACGATCTTGGGCCCACAACGTGCGCAGCGAGCGCATCGCATGTTTCGCATTTCTTCGGTTCAAACCCAAAACAGCGATTCCCGAAGTTAACCCTGCGCGTCCATGTACCCATATGGTACATATATATATATATATATATATATACATGGATAGTTTTTTGCTGGCCTCAAGGTACGTAGTGTTGGCCTCAAGGTACGTAGTCCCTATATAGGTACTGTGGTTGGTTCGGGAAGAAAACCGAAATACTTTCTCCCAAGTACCGGCGGATTTCGGGAGCAAAGCCACAATGCTTACACCGGACTCAGGATTTCTTTCGGCAGCCCGAACCAAGTAATGTAGGAACCTGATTAAGAAAGCTTGAGCCTTAATTATATGGATCCTACTATTCTGGGGTTGTAGGCCCAGGGTTTCTTAATCAGGTTCCTACATTATCGGAATTTCATGGAAATGGAACAATGCCTGCTGGACCAAGCGATTCGTAGACGCATCACAGGACAGGTTTGAGGGTTCAAGGTTTCGGGCGCTGACCTCGAGGAGAAGCTTCAGCGCCTCTTGCTTGTTGTTCGAGGCAGCGTTGTCGGCTGGAGTATATCCAGCATCGTCTTTGACTGTGAGGTTGACACCAGCCTGCGAAGCAGAAGAATGAGAAGGAGGAGAGCCCGGCAGCCGTCGGCTGCCAGTGGGCAGCCTAAACCCTAAACCCTAAACCCTGCTGGCCTTGATCAGGACGCGCAGGGCCTCCAGGTGGCCAGAGAACGCGGCCGCGTGCGCCGGGGAACTTCCGTCGAGTTCGGTCGTTTGCAGGTTGGCCCCGGCCTCTCTGAGCGATAAAAACCGGTGGAAGCACCTCTAAACTTGGCTGATTGAGATTAATACAGGGGCCTTCATAATCAGACGAAGGTTTTGGGGCCCATTATACTTTTATTTTAATGAATAAGGAACCCCTGAAATAGTATAGGTAATTATTTAGGCCGCTATTGTACTGGCACATCTCCCAGAAAGAGAGCAAGAGACGACCCCTTCAGCGGAGTGTGGGAAGATTCTACGAAGGCCTCGGCGAGAGCCTTCAGCGCCTTGGACTGCCCACCTGAGGCTGCCACATGGGTGTTTCTGAAAATAGGGGGCTCCTTATTTTGGGGTCCTTATAAGAAGGATCCGACTATTTAGGGTCCCATATTTCGGAAGCTTCGACTGCCCACCTGAGGCTGCCGAATAGGCCGGCGTGAGGCCCAGGCTGTCTGTCGCACTCAAGTTGGCAGAGGCCTGGCAGGGGACTGAAAAGAGATCCTCACATGTCTAAGTAAACCCTAAACCCTTCCCCCACCCCATCTCCCGAGCCGAACAGAGGACCCGCCATAAACCCTAAACATCTCTAAACCCTAACGAGCCGAAGAGACTGCTGCCCTGGCCTCAGCCAGCACCTGCAGTGAGTTCACCCGCTCATCCCTGGCCGCCAAGAAGGCCGGCGTGTCACCGTAGATGTCCTTCGCATCGAGGTTGGCCCCTGCCTCGCAGGGGGGGGGGGGGGGGGGTTACGGGGCGCGCTAAAGAAGAGCGGAGCAACTCAGAGAGGCGCCTCGCCTCGCGCAGGAACTTCAGCGCTCCCACCTGGCCGTGAAGAGCGGCATAGTGCGCCGCTGTCCATCCGCTAGAAGACAATGCGGCATTAAAATCGGTCCCGGCCTCGGCAAGGATCAAACTTCGCGTGCTCACTCTGCCTGATCTCTTCTACTGCGTTAGGTGAAATTTCGGACTTCCAAACGCAGCAACCTCACAGGCAATCCTCTGATATCCGATCACACCACCCCTTGCCTGCTACTGCGAGAGCAGCCTTACAAAAAATTAGGCCTGACGGTGCTTCGCGAGGGCCGCCACGTCGCCAAGCGATACTGCCGTTGGCAAGGACATGAGCGTCGTGGTGTCGGTGGTGGTAGTGGGCGTAGGCGGCACGCTCACCTAGCGGTGTGGCAGAATCAAGAAAAAAGGAAAAGAAGGCTCGATGCAGAAAGGCCGACCGAATCTGGCCGAAGACCTGTGCCATCAAAGGCGCAAACTGTACAGACATCGGTGGGGCAGCATCCCGGTGCACTGCATCACAAGCATCCGTTTATACGCATAATGCATCCATCTGTCTATCCATCGACTTTCAGCCGTGCACTTGTCCTGAGATCCGTCCATTTGCATGACCATACAGACAAATCTGATCGATGTCCCACAAACGCTAGTAGTCGAAAACAACAACAGACTGGCGGATTCAGGAGCACGGCCAGCTTGCTTTCCTGCAAGCTTTCCCCAAAATGCTGGCAGATTCGGAAACACTGCCAGAAAACGTTCCCCCAAGTACTGTACTGGAGGGTTTAGGGTTTAGGTCCAGGTTTTATAAAGGGTTTAGGGAGGAAACCTAAACAGAGGAGCCTGAAACGTACCGCGCGCGAAACAGTGAGGCGGTTGCTGTTTTCTGGATCCAGACGGCAGATGGATTGCAATTTGCAGTGGATCCCGCCGGCCCCAAACAAGGCTCCCGCTAGCTCCGGCACTGGTGGAGGCCAGGGTCGGGAAGGGTGTTCCAGAGAAGCTTGAGGAAACACATTGGCATCGGAAACCAGGGTCTCGGCTTTTGGTTAGAGTCGGTTGGAGATATTAAACCATCCCATTCCCCTGCTGAAAGCTCAGCTTCCCAACCCTCAGCCCAAACACCTTGAGTTCCCGGCTGCACTTTGTCGGCGAACCAGCAAAAGCTACCGCAACGACGCGCTACTGTTCTACGATGTTCTACGCCTGGCCCATCAAACATCAAGAACCCCGCAAATCCCAAGTCCAACCTGTTCAGCGGTGTCAAGCTCAAAGCAATTTCCGGGGTCTGAAGCACTTGAAGCCCTGTGCCGAGAACCCTACTCGGCTGCCATCCGCAAAGGCCAGGGTGGCCAGCAAAATCAGCCAGGCCACCTCACTTAACTTACCGTTTGGTTCGTAGGGAATGGAGGAATGGGGTAGAATTATAATTAATTACTACAAACTATCCCTACTAACCAAAGGTAAGATAATGCATGCACCGGGCCGAAGACAGGCCTGCGATGCTGAACCAAGGTTTGCTACCAAGCCATCTTTGAACCGAGGGGCCAACTCAAACCCTGACTTCAAGAGCCCACACCAAAAAAATCCAAAAACCCTTCCGTGGCCGGAATGTCAAGAACACACGTCCAAAGGCAAGCGGGAGAAATCCGAGAAAACCCTACTGTCAACACGAATCCACACGTCATCGACATATTTCATTTCAACGATTTGTTCCGGCCGTCAAAGATTTCAGAAGGTGCCCCTGAAAAATGAACCCGAATCTCAGCACGCGGCACGCATCCTGAAGATAAAGCTTGGAGTTGACAAACAAAGTTGCAATAAGAGATCTCGAGCCCAAAGCTGCGGGGAAGCAACGGATACGCACGGCTACCCTTGCAGGGCCGGGGCGGGGTTGCCTCTAAACCTTAAACCCTAAAACCCTAAACCCTAAACCCTAAGACCCTAAGCCCTAAACCCTAAAACCTTAAACCCTAAACCCTAAAACCCTAAACCCTAAAACCCTAAACCCTAAAACCCTAAACCCTAAAACCCTAAAACCCTAAACCCTAAAACCCTAAACCCTAAAACCCTAAAACCCTAAAACCCTAAACCCTAAAACCCTAAAACCCTAAACCCTAAAACCCTAAAACCCTAAACCCTAAAACCCTAAACCCCCCACCCTTGAATCCAAGAGTTGAGGCGGAGGTCCCAAGATGATCGTCTTACTACAGGGGCTTTAAGAGTTAGGGTTTAGGGTTTAGGGTTTTAGGGTTTAGGCTTTAGGGTTTAGGGTTTAGGTTTTTTTTTTAAGGTGCATTGGCTCTTTCTCCGCATTGCAGCGCAGGTCTTGAGCCCGCCTCAGCTGGCTTACACCCTTCAGGCACTCATTACTCACCGAACGGAATCCGTATCAGATAGAATCCCGACTGCGACTCCGTTTAGGGTTTAGGGAGCCCGCATACAGTAAGAGTCTATAATAGGGCTACTATTAAGGTCCTAATATATACATATTATGAATATTATTCAACTAAGAGTCTATAATCGACTATATAAGGTTCTAATATATCAAAATTTACGGCATTCTTTGCTTTCCGAGGTCTCGCCCCAGTCCGCAGAGGGGCTGAAAGTGAGAAGCACAAGAGAAACGCCGAATCTCGGAAATCCCCACAAGATGGGAGTTTCCGAAAATTAGGGGTACCTTATTTTGGGGTCCTTATTCTAAGGATCCTACAATTTGCGGTATTATATTAGGGTCCCCAATTTTCGGAAACTCCCAGATGTTCAGGTTTAAGGCTCAGTGTCCAGTGTGCCCCACACCTCCCTCCCAGCAAGAAGGAAGACTCTAAGCCAGAAAACCCCTATACCCTATATAGACTCTAAGGCTTTGCACTAAATCCTCAACTAAAGAGCTTCACCCGCCCCCCCCCCCCGCTTAACCCTAGAAGTCCTAAACAGCTCGAGACCTAAACGCAACGACGTATTTCAAATCCTTATAGTAGCCCTTTTTGTAACCCTTGAAGCTTTTTCAGAACCCTTTAAAGGAACCCTATTCTAATTATTAAGGCCCTAAGCCCTAGCCCCGACCACGACCACGATGTAGCCGATTTTGACCACGTCGGCACGAAAAGCTGGCGGTCATTCGGCCTCAGTATAGGCAGAGGTTCGGGGAAGCCAAAAGGTTCTCTAATTGTTCCGTAAGGATTCTAAAAGGCGTTTGAGGTTTGAGGCTTTGGATTTGGGAGTTCCAGATTTAGGGTTTCGTGTTCGGGCTTCAGGCCTCAAGCGCTACGAATCAATGATGAAAGCTCCTTGCAACGGCTCCAATGGTCTACTCGGAACCCTGTTCTAATCCTGCTCAATTGAGGGGGACGGTATCAATCAGGGGCAGGGAAACTAGAGGGGCCTTTGGTTTGGGATGTAGGGGTAGAGCACGAAAGGTTTTGAGCCTCAAGACGAATAAAGTCTAACAGGACTCGAACAACTGCAAAATTCTAAGCCCCTCTGAAACTGCATCTGGAGGTCTGATCAAACAGTGAAAATGCCACCGTATTCTGTTCGGCCTCCCCGAACAGCAACCCTAAATAAACACGCACACAAAGGCCTGCCGACTTTTCGTGGGTTTTAAGTATGTTAAAGCACAGCTATACAGGGACAAGAACGGGGGTCCTGGCTAAACATTAACCACCTAGGCCTCTAAATTGATTTCGAGAGCAATGCCCTTTGGTTTAGGGTTGGGTTAGGGGCCCTGAGCCCCAAACCCTAAAGTTTAAAGGCGACCTCAAGGTCATGGGTAGGCCTTTCGGTGACGCCGGCATGGTCTTGAAAAAGCCTAAACCCTTGAAGCTTAGAGTGTAGGGGTTTTGGGGCTTAGGGCTTGTGAAACCCTAACACCCAACAGCCCCGAGACCCTGAACCCCCAAATTTTTGTAAAATTCTTACAGAACCATTGAGCCTTCGCCCTCAGCCTTTAACAACTGAAGCGCCGCTAAAACTCTTATAGAACCCTTACAAAGCCCCAATAGAACCCTTGTAGAGCCCTTATTCAGCATCCCAACACCCCGAAGTGCGCCCCCAAACCCTAACATAGGGGCCTTAATAATTAGAATAGGGTTTTGGGACCCATTATTCCATTCTTATAATAAGGAACCCCCAAAATTTTACTGGTAATTACTAGGCCCCTAAACCCTAAACCCTTAAACTTGGCACACTGCATGGTCCAGGAAGAGGTCGACATTCTTCGGCTTCGCCTTTCCCGAAGCCTCCTTGGGTTCGAACTCTCTCAGCGGAAAGTTGGGCTTTAAAGCTTTCGGGGTTTAGCGTTGTAGGGTTTCCGCAGTTGGGGTTTAGGGTTTAGGGTTGAGGGGTCGGAAGGACACTGTTTTAGGGCAATTCGGATTTAGGGTCCTTGTTAAGGGGTGCGTTTAGGGTTGAGAAGATGATCTTGTAGTGTAGGCCGCTTTGTTCATGTTGGTACCCTTTTTGTTGACGGGATAAGCTTGCTTTTTGCTGTTCCAGTGGGGTTGCTCCTGCAAGGGCAACACTGTAATGTAGGAACCGGATTAAGAAACCCTGGCCCTATAACTCCCCATATGATAGGACTCATATAAGGAACCCAAAAAAAGTCCCAAGGTTTCTTCATCAGGTTCCTACATTACTATGTAGGGTGTGCCATCAAAGTTCGGGAGCAAACGTTAGGAGATCCTGGGGGGCCAGGGGCGTGTATAGGTTCCGAGTTTACTTGGAGGTTCAGGGGTAGTTATAAGTGGGGTTATAAGTAGGGTAACTATACTTATAACCATATTCAGGGACTTATAACCCCACTTATTGCTACCCATGAACCTCCAAGTAGGGGCTAGGTCTTGACGCAAATGTCATGAATCCTGTGCATTCCCTATGTTTCCCCTGTTGTGGGCATCAAATCCAAGCCCTTGCTGACCTCCAGCTCTTGCTCTCGCCGCAGGACATAGGACAAGGCTGCCTGCAGCAGGCTGGCGACACAATCCACAGAGCTGTTGTAGTTTCGTAGAACTCCATGGGTGCGAAGGCCTATAGCATCACTAGCTATGCAGAGTCGTAAACCCTAAACCGTGAGTCAAGCACTGCTGCTCCCCGTCGGGCGACGAAGGTTTGGGAATAAGAATATACTGAGATTGGAGATGTACCGTACATTCCCCCAAACTAAGTGGTTGCGACACTGCAACCTTTTTTTGCACGGTTACAGGCTTCTTACTTCAACGTAAAAATGAACACCCTCTCAAAGCATCCCCCAAATCCAAATTTCAAGTAACCTAAACCCTAAACCACAAATCCCAACATCCTAAACGACCCACGCCCTAAACCCCATAACCAAAACCCCAAACCCCCAAAAACGCCCAAAATCCTAAGCACCCTAAGCCCTGAAACACAAGAGAGATCCAGGCCCGACGTCCTAAGTACGAGGGGCTTAGTGCTTTGGATTCAGGGTTAAAGGGCTAGGGTTGAAGGTTT